TTTTTTTTATAATTTAATAGGTAAAAAATGCATTAATTTTTTCTTAAACATGTGTCCAAAATCCAAATCATGCGAACACCACCAGTTTATGGAGGACATCTCTTAAAAAAAAGTTACGGCACTCTTTTCTTTTTGTTATGCCTTATTTTATTAAGATAAGAGGCATTTAAATAAAAGAAAATGTGTTTTATAAGATATTTTTTATGAAGAACATTTTTTAAAATATTATTTTTGTTTAATTTTAATAAATTTAATTTTTTTATTTAAGATGATTAAATTAAATTTAATTATATTTTAAGATATTATTTAAAATATATTTTTTATATAATAAAGATATATGCCCTGGAAACTTGAGATAAATGTGATATTTACTATTTCATTTCCCAGAAATTGCACTGCCATTTCCCTGCCCAATATGGCAGTGTACAGACAAACAATAAAGAGAATATTATGTCCTAATATAGAAAATGTGGGCAAGAATAAATGGTAGACTTGTATCCTGATGTGCTCCACTTCCCCAAACTTTGAGCAATCAATTTCTTTCACTGTTTTTATCTTTCCTACTGTTCCACACGCTTTTCTTTCTTTCTTTCTATTTCCCTTTTTTCAAAAAAACTTTTGACTTTTAAAGTCGCCGAGTGTTGGTGTAGACTGGAACTTCAATCTTATTTGAACGTCCCTCTTTAAAAACAGCCTTATTATGTTATACGTTTTCTCTTCAATTTTTTAAACCATTTTACTACAAAACTATTCTACCCTTTAACAAGGAATTAGTTGCCCTAATATGTTCAATAATTAAGATGCTACATGAAAACCTTGATGACGTGAAAAACTTTAATTAATTAATTATAGTAGCATAATTTAACATTTGAGATAGAAACGATGTGAACATCATCAGCTTAAAGTTTAGAGGAGCCTTAGTTATAAGCTCTTCTAAACAGTTGAGTTTAAGATATGTAATTATTCTATGTAATTTAGTCAGGACAACATTTTTTCCCGGCCAAAGATAAGTTAGGATGCATCCAGACGGCCAGAGCCCCTTTGTTGACTTTTTCTCTCTTTTTTTTTTTTTGGTCTCTTTGTTTACTGTTAGCCCTCTTTTCCGTCCGTTGGGCCTCTTTTGCTCTTTTTGTTTTTTCTCTTTTACCAATGTGTGATTGGGACTATCAAAATCTGTTGTGTATAAATTACTTTGAGAGACAAAGACAGG